CATTTGCAGTGGTTAAATGAGTTAATATTTATAAATCACTTAGAACAATGCCTGACACACAGTGAACACTACATAATGCATTAGCTATTATTGAATGCCTACTATGTGCTAGACACCAAGTCAGGTATTGGAGATATACTGATAGACAGAAGGGAAATATTCTGTGCCCTGTTGGGGATTACAGTTTTGAAAGGAGATGGGTATTAACCACATATTTCATTAACCAGCTGTTCCTTCCCTGCCTCCCTTTCTCAAGCTCTCCTCCTCCACTCTGTCCCGCAAACATGGTGTCCCTCCCCCTTCCCTCCTCCTCTTTACTTAGTACATACATAATCCCTAGGTGACAAATTATCAAACCAGAAATGACAGTAGGACGCCACTACAGATCCTACAGGGAAATACTGTGAACAACTTTATGCCAGTCCACTTCACAATTTAGATGACATGGACAACTTCCTTGAAAGACATAATCCCCCAGTGGCCTCTTGCACAAGGATACCAGCCACATGCTCATGATTTCAGACTTGCCAGCTCTGCCCAGCTCTCTCCTGAACTTTAGACTACCGTTTTCAACTGCCTCCGGAACATTTCCACCTAAAAGTTGCTGAGCATCAAAAGCTCAGTCTCCTCCTTCTCTAATATGGTTCTTGACACCTGCTTCCACCCAGCCACCCATGCTAGAAACTTCACAGTTTACCCTGGCCCCTCCTTGTCCCTTAATCCCCCACCTTCAGCCAATTACCAAGCCCTGCTGGCCTGTTAAAATTAAGAAATATTCGAAGCATACAGAAGAATACATGGAGAATATTATGACTAATGACACCGGGGGCACCCACCACCTAACTGTGTAAAGTCTTAACATTTTACTATAATTTCTTCATATCTTTACATCAAAAAAAAGCACTATGTCAATTACTTGCTTAGCTCATTGTCTGTTCATCCCATCCCATTAGAAAGCTGATTTTTGTTTGTTTCATTCACTGTGGTATTTCCCCTGGAACAGAGCAGGCCCTAATAAATATTTGACAAATGAATGACTGGAAGAAAATAAAACATTCTAGGTAGAATGGAAGCCCCTTTGTACCCTCTGCAGATCTCAGTCCCCATCCCCCAACCCCCACTCCACCAGATGTAACACCCATTCCAGTCTTGGTGTTTATCATCATCATGCATGTTTTTATTTATTTACTATGTGTTGATGCATTTGTAAACAGCTTGTAATACTGTTTTGCACATTTTAAAATTATATAAATGATATCCCTACTGTATTATCTTCTGGCAACTTTTTTTTCCAATATGATACATGTAGTTCTGGATTATTCATTTTAATGTATGTAAAGTACACTGTTGTATGAATATACTTCATAGTGTAATAGAGCATGGAGTCTGGGGCCAGGCTGCCTTAAAAACATAAGTATTTTATCTTACTATGTTGATAGATAGATAGTAACCACACTAGAAGGAGTGAGGATTTAATAATGTGGGTAACTGTTAAACCACTGTATTGTATATTTAAAACCAATGTAAGATTGCATATCAATGATACTTTAGTTTAAAAAATGAGTATTTTATAAATGTGAGTTGGGTGCACTGTGCCTAGGAGTGAACCACTCTCCAGTTGCTCTACCAAGTTGTTTTAATTTACACCACCTGTGATTCTCATTGCTATTTTTAATTTACATTTTCTTGATTACTAATAAAGTTGAACACCTTTTTGTATGTTTTCTGTATGTATTTGGGCTTTCTTTTCTGTGAATGGGCTGTTCTTAACCTTTGCCTATTTTTTTCTATTCAATCTACTTACTAGAGTTCTTTACAAGTTCTGGATGCTCTTGCTTGTGGCTTGTCTTTTCACATTGTGTTTGTGATGACACATTGTTAAAATGCAGAATAGTGCAGGGCTGAATCTGTGGCCAGACTGTCTGGTTTTGAATCTCATTTCAACTGCTTCCTGGATGTGTGACCTTAAATTCAACCTCTCTGTGCTCTGTTTCCTCGTCTGTAAAATGGAGATGGTAATAGTGTCTGTCTCATACATTTGTGAGGACTAAATGAGTAATACATATATAAAGTACATTTTGTGTGTCACATTGTAACCTCTATTAAGTTTTATGGTTGAATTGAGGCTTTTTTATTTTGGCTTCAGTTGCTGCCAATCAAATTTCTCAATATTGTCTTTTTTTTTTTTTGCTATGTGTATGTGGTGTGTGCTTAAGTAATCCTTTATACAGAGATTATAAATATAGATTTCTATACTTTCACATGCAAAACATTTTTGGTTATGGTGTAAGGAAGGGATCTAATTTTATTTTTTCCTCGTGGACAATTGATCTTCTCAGTGCCATTTATTAACTACTTCAAGCTGACTTACATGCCATCTCTGAAATACAGCGAGTGTCTGTACACGCAACACCTGTTTTCTAAGCTCTATTCCATTAGGGTCTCCCTGAGTTTCTATTCCATCCCCGTCTATTCTGTCCAATCCTACATTCTCTTCCATAATGAAGACAGCTCCCATGTGGAGCACTAGGTATGGGCACAGTCCTATTGGAAACAGTCTGGCCAGGGAGACTTTCTGTGATGACCTCAACCAACTCCCCGGCCCGTTTCCTGCCTCTCCTCCTCCTCACCCACGCCTTGCACCTTGATGCTTCCATACCCTGCATTGTTGCTCTCTTTGCCTTTGCACCTGACCTTCCCTCTGGCTGTGAGGCCTTTTCTGTCCACCTGACAAACTTGTATACCTTCCTTAAAACCCATGAGCATATGTGAAGCTTTCCCACAGGCAGAACTGAGGGCCTCCCCTCTCTGCTTTATGCACACCCAATTACTGCATTGTAATAGTAGCCGGACCTGCTTCTTACTGACTTCTAGGTCTGGCTTGCTATGAGGTGACAAGTATCTCCACAGAATCTTCTTGGCCTTTATGCCTACCACACCTGGCACTCCACCTGGCACTGTCAGACTCACAGGAATGGTGCTTTCAACTTTACTGTCCTGCTCTTTGAAAGACTCGGGTTCAAATCTCAGCCCCACCTCCTGGAGTCAGTTGTAACTCTGGACAGCTGCCTTCCCCTGTCTGAGCCTCCATTTCTTCAACTGTCGGAGAGGGCTAGGCTATTTTTAAAGAGTTTCCTTTTACATCTGGAAATCTCATTTGATTTCAAACGCACCTTCCAGCTCTAGAACTTGGGATTCACACTGAATCCATTCTTTATTCATAATTTCCAAAGATTGTAAACAACCCAGATGTCTCTCAACTTGTGAATGAATAAACAAACTATGGAATACTACTCAGCAGTGTAAAGGAATGAACTACTGATACACACAACAAGGTGAATGAATCTCAAATGCATATGCTGAGTGAAATAAGCCAGACTCAAAATGCTATAGGCTATATAATCCCCATTTTCATCACATTCTGTAAAAGGCAAAACTGTAAGAACAGATAACAACTCAATGACTGCCTGGAAGTAGGGATGGGGTAGACTACAAAATGGTGGAAGGGAATTTGAGGAGGTATCTTGACTGTGGTGGTGGTTACAAGACTATGTCAAAACTCACAGAATGAATTTCAATGCATGCAAACTATTCCTCAGGTTTTTTATTTTATTTTATTTTATTTTTTAATGAAGCTATATAATTCCCAAGAGCATTAGGATGTTTCCACCTGGGTGTCAGAGGAGTGACACCAGGCACAAGACTGTGCCTCAGCCACAAGGAGTGAATGGCGCAACAAGTTTGTATGGGAAGAAGTTGAAAGATGCTTCCCTTTGAGCATGAGCAAAGGGCCACTGGGGCAGAGCCGGTGAGGGTACTCTGGTGGGAGAACAGCCTAATCTTCCTTGTGAGGCACCTATGGCATGGCCTGGGTATTGTCTTCTCGTTTTCAGGCGAAGAATGTAATTCAGAGACATTCAATGACTTGCTGATATCAGGGGTGGCAAATGATGGGGCTGGGATTCTAGCTCTGTGCTATGCGCCACCCCACCCCACCCCGCCTCCCCTCAACATGTGACTGGGGTCTCTGCATCCCCAGTTTGTAGCCTTCCTCTAGCACCTAGATCCATCTCAAGCTTGGCTCCCATCTCAGGATTTGTTCCAAGAGACCCAAAAGTGGGGTCAGTATTAACCTTTAAGCTCCTCACCAGCTGCTCACATTTTGACTTGCATTAGCTGCTAGGAGTCCTTCCCCTCTCCCTTCCCAGATGGAAAATGCTGGCCGGCAGAGGGCTAAGGAAGGGCCAGGCTCCCCCAAACCCCACCCATAACACACTCCCCCAGCTCCTTCCCCAGGTGGTCTGTAGCCTAGACACTCTCACCTCCCTCCTCCCCCTCACTGTGCACTCTGGGCCAGCGCTCCTTGTCCAGTCGTTCGTTCAGAATGCAATCCCCAAGGGCCGGCTGTGTGCCGGGCACAGCGCCTTTAGAGTACAGAGCCTTTAGCCTACATCTGTCCCCTGCGGAGCCAGCAGGAGGGTGGAGTGGTCAGACAAGGGCTCTGGGGCCAGACAAAGCAGGGCTTGATTCCAGCTCTTACTGGCGCTGGGCTTACAGCTTCTCCTCTTTGAGTCTGTTTCTTTGTCAGCATAATGGGAATGACCATCATTCCTACACCCCACAGAGTTTAGGTAAAGGAGAGGATGCATACAAAGCCCCTAGAAAGCTGTTCAATCGGTAGCTAGCATTGTGATCATTTCTCTGGAAGAGAGGTGTAAGCCGATCATATGCAGAGGGTCCTGGGGGCTCTGAAGTACCCATGAGCTCAGCATCAGGGTGGGAGGGGGACAGCCTCTGTGGACAGGTAACAGAGGATGAGTTTGGGGCACTTCAGTCCTGGAGATGTGAATAGGGAAAGGAGTAGTTTCTGGTTTGTTTTGGGAGTGCAACGAGTTCCTGGCCTAAGGTACAAACTCTAGAAATGTTAGTGAGGACAATGAAGGTGATGAGGGGTGATTAAGGTCAATATTTGAAGCAAGGCTTTGTAGGCTATGCCTCACCTGGGTCTTCATTCTCTCGAAGTCGTGGAAGATTAGAACTCCTTGAGTTCTACAGCCCAGGAGATCCTGTCAGTGGGAAACTGAGTAAGAGGAGTGAAGGCAAAGAGAGGTCCTAGAACCTGAAAAGGAGAGGGGGACAGAGAAATGCTAAAAGACGAGGGGCGGGAAGCCGGGCATGCCCTTCATGAAGCTCTGCCTCAAAGACAAGGAGAAACAAGCCCTGGTCTGTCCTGATTTCAGCCCTGACAATCCCAACTCCCTCAGTCCTGAGCAAACAGGGATGTCTGGTCACCCTCCCTGCCACCCTTCCAGCGCTTCCCCCTACTTCCAGCCTCAGAAATAACCCTGTCAGACTTCCAGGCTTTTAGCCCAACTCACCCTCTTCTGGAAGGTTCAGGAAGAACAGGGCCGTTTAGGGGGCCATGGAGGGCCAGTGCCTCCAGGAGTCCTCCATGTTTCAGGGAACAGGAATGGCCTCCCAGGCCCCGAGACACCAGCCTCACCAGGCTTCCCCAGAGGCCGGCAGATGCCGCGCCTGATCTCCCCAGCACTAATCCCTCAGCATGCCCTCTGCCGTGGGGATTATTCCTGGGGTCCCCGAGCAGGGGAGGAGGGCACAGCTGTCAGGGAGACTGGGCAGCATCACCTGACCCAAGATGCTCTAGGCTGGCTGGCAAAGGAATGCTGTCTCCACAAGGAGTGTCCGGCAAGCCCAACGTGATGCAGGGGAGGTGCCGGGGCTGCTAGGAAACAGCCTCTGGCTGACCCACAGGCCTCCCAGACCTACCCACCCCCCACCAGCTCCTCAGCTACCTCTGAGGAACCTGGAGCCCCCAGGAACACAGTCTGAAGGCCACTGGGGCCAGCTTAGTTGTTAAATATTCAGATAACTTGGTTCAAATCCCAGTTCTGTCACTGCCTGTGTAGCCTGAGGTAAGTTGTGCCCAATTTGTTTCTTCCTCTGTGAAATGGAGATACTAATATCTCAGTGTGAGGATTAAATTGCAAAGTGCTTGTAAAACAGGTAGCCCAGGAGGTGGCACCTAACAAGGGCTCCATAAAGGCTAGCCTCTTGGTTTGACTTGCCTTTTATGTTACAATGTCAACTCATCACCTGTGGCAGATGTCAGATCTTTCTTAGTGAACATTCTATAAAGTCACTATCCATTGATTTTTGGTCGGCACAAAAGAGAAAATATATTTGCCTTCTTGCCAGATACTGGAATTACCTGGAGAGCTTTTAAAAATCACTGGTATCCAGGTCCCAACCCCCAAAGATCCTAATATAATCCTGGAGAGCTTTTAGAAATCACTGGTGTCCAGGTCCCAATCCTGGACATCCTAATACAATCCCGGGAGCTTTTCAAAACCACTGGTGGCAGCTCCCACTCCCAGGGGTCCCCATGGGTATGGCCTGGACATCAGGATTTTTGAAGAGTCCTCTGTGAATCTACTGTGTGTTCAAAGTTGAGAACCACTGCCCCTGAGCACTGTATCCTAACTCATTTTAAATGTGTGTAGGAGTACTGTGGGGATCTAGTTAAACTGTGGGTTCTGAGTCTGTGGGTCAGGGTGGGACCTGAGAGTCTACATTTCTAACAAGCTCCCAGGTGATGTCAATGCTGGTCCATGGAGCAAGGCTCCTGTGCAGTTCACGGATCCCACTAGGTTCCACATCATTATCTCAAAAGAGCCTCACAGTTGCCTCCCAGCATCCCCATAGACAGGGATTGAATTATTATCTCCATTTTGTTGATGCTCAGGATCAGGTATGTGAAAGGGCAGAGGCAAGCCTTCTGGATCCTCTTCTGCATCCCCCATGGCCAAATATCAGGGCTGGTCCAGAAAAGGAACTTGGTAAAATAGAGCAAGAAGAGATCTGAATGATTTTGTCCAGACTCCGCATTGTACAGCTGATCAAACAGGCTCTGAGAGGAGGAGGTCACTTGCCAAGGTCACAAGTTTAGTAACAGCAATGGAGCTGGAACCCAGGTCTTCTTTTCCATTGCACCTGGCTGCTTGATTAATCCTTACGGAGGATCAGAAAGGGCTGCACAGCCTGCCTCTGGTCACGGATTGAGTCTGACAATGTGCCAAGTGTGAGTGCTTAGGGCTTTCTGCATGACCTCCTTCATCTTAACAACAGTCCCACAAGGCGGGTTCCATTCTGCCCCATTTGACATATGAGGAAACTGATGCTCTGAGAAGTGAAGTCCCCAGGAGGTGGCAGGACTGGGATTTGGACTGTTCTGTGAACACGAATGCACTTCCTTTGTTATCTCCCCCTCAAAAAAGGCCATGTGATTCTCCAGGGCAAGGACCGTGTGTCATTCTGGCTTGTGTCCCCAAACCAGGGCTAATCCACTCCAGAGTTTTGCACCTCCGCTGATAAGGACCCTCACTTCCCGGACCCCAGCTCCTTTCCGGGAACTCCTCCTTTACCCCTTGTGCCATTTGTGCCACTGCAGTCATTTCTCACTACCCGGACTAGCCCTGCCCCTGCAGAATTTAGCTAACCAGAACCAGTGTCTTGTCATACAGGGAAGTGGCCACATGGTAGCAGTATATACCCACAAGTAAAATCTGGCACAGCATGCACCTCCTCCTATGAAGGCTCATTTATTGGTTGGGTGCTTCTCTTCCTCCAGGCATTTGTCCAAGGACTTTCCTTCCATGAACCCAGATAATCCCCACAACAGCCCTGTGAGGGAGGAGTTATCCATCCTCTTTATAGATGAGAGATCATATTAGTCCTTTGCTTAAATAACCTTCCCTGACTGCCCACCACTCTGGAAAAACCAAAACCCTGACCTGCATAGTCTAAACCCTAAGTGTGGACCCTTGAGTCAGACTGCTGGGGTTCAAATCCCAGTTCCACCATTTATTACTTATGTGACTCTGGTCAGATTTCTTGGCTTCTCTCGGACCTCAGTGTGCTGATCTGTAACATAACACAGTGAAATAGAACCTGCCTCCTCGGGGTGGAAATCAGGATTCATAGATAAGACACTGAAAGCACACAGTTCCACAACAAACACACAGTAAGCTCAGCAACTGTGAGCCACTGTTACTACCATCAGTCCCATCTCCCTCTCCTCCCACAGCTCACAATCCTGCAGATTTCCTTCTCTCTCCCCCTTTCTCCACCTCTCCTCCCCACTTTTTCCCACCTTCACTCCCTCTCTCCCCCATCCTCTCCACTATTCCAATTCTCTTGCCTACTTTCCTCACAGCCATGCTCCTTTCTCCCCCTTTCTCCTTCCACCTTCAGAACTCATTCCAGCCA